CGTATAAAAAATATATAGGGAGGGTTAAGATATTATACATTGGTATACTGTTTGCTTTATAGAAGACAACACTGCTGTTAAACAATTACACAATCCATTGATCTAAATATTTACAAAGGAACTATTAAATTCTTCAAAGTTTAAAATTAGGTTTTTCAAAAGTCACAAAATAAAACGAATTCCAACAATGAAAGAAATTCAATAAAAATTGAAACCTTTTTTTTTCAATTAAAATGTAATTAAAAATTAAAAAGGAAATGTGACACGTTGAACAAAAAATACGAGCATTTCCGCTGTTTTTTAGATCATTTTACAACATTAGGTTGTAGATATACCAATTATAGATGGGTAAATATATTATTATAGAGTATAGACTATTTCATTGTTGTTACTTTATATTTTATAAATTGAGTGCTTTGAAAATGTGAAATAATACGCTAACCTTTTATGGTTATTTATATTACTACCTAACCCAACGAAATTGTCCCGAATTTGACACTATAAGTATTGTGTCCCCACGCTCTTATTATTTATTTACAATATAAACTTAGAAGCTAAAATAGACAAAGAATTTTTTAATTTGTAGTACTTACGTTTTTAACTGAACGTTTAAATATTAGTACCTATACGAAATTAATATCTGCTTGGTTACCTATACACAATACACATATAATARAGATAGGTAGGTGGTTATTGTTTGAACATTTGAACATTTTGTATTATATAAACGCCTATATTAAAGTTAATATAATACATTTCAATATTTCATGAACGCATACTAATATAGCAATATTGACTATCGTACCAATACTCCTCTCAATAATCTAAATAATATCTTATAATCGCTATTTGTGTGAAATTTGTTTGTTTATTGATACAATAACAATTTTATTACTTTTTTACTGTCCACATAGTACATAGGTTGATCGTTTTGAATTTAAATTGGAGTGCTAAATTTATCAGCTTGCTAAAATATAAATAACTAATGGTATGAATATAATGGAAATTGTAGTAAACCTGTGTATGGAGTCACTATACTATTTTATTTTAACATTATAATATCATATTTATACTCAGACCTYGAGAGTGACGGATTTACTGATACAAAATATAACCATTATAACCGCCGATTATAAGTACAAAAGCAGAGCAATAAACTAAACTAGAATATTTCCGAATGTATGTTACAATCGACGAGCGTCAGCTCAATGAATTTCTGAGAAGGAATTCAAACACTTGCAATAACAACCACTAAGCCCTTTTGATCCACCTCCTAGTCTCTATTACCGTGTATCCATTACTAGATCATATCGATTCTGCATAAATACAGGACTCTGGTCCATAACAGAGTTCAGAATTCAGAATTAGTTTTGTTTCCCAAATGTATAGAACTTAATATAGTCGTTGAGCTCGTCCTCAGCAACATCGCCGCTATATCTATGTTCATTCCAATACTCATTAATTTGTGTAACTAATTTCTCGGGCAAATACTTTTCGTTCTGTCCTCAAATTTCTATTTTACTTTAATAAACTACATTTACTAACCAAATGAGTGTCTGTCTTGTGTTACTTAAACCTACCCTTCGTCAATACCAATATAACCAGCACATGGATTAACATCGACTCTATTGAAGACCTCATATTTTATAAGCGATATAGTGAGAGATCACTATAAAATGAATAATACTTAATAAGTAATAACTAATAAGTATTATTATATACCTACGTTATAAAGATAATGACATAATGTTGTGTTTTGGGAGCAGGGAAACGCACCGAGCACTGTATAGGGAGCAATCTTCTCAATACTCCACCTTTACCATGGAGATAAAATGTGAATAATCATTAATGCGTTATCTTAGAGTYCAACCCTTAAAATTAAAATTAAAAATCACGATTTTTTCCTAAACTTTATGTAGGTAAATAAAGGAATATAATAACTGAATACCGTCAATGGACGGGTTTAATAATTTATAAGGATAAATACCTAGGTCCTAGGTCCCGATTAAAATAATATAATTGTATAAATTTATATAATCATGTAAATCCATACGTATAGTCGGTGCCTTGGTTTTATTATTATTCATATTTAATCGTTCAACTGTTCAAGTTATATATCACATTAGATCATTAGAACCTAAAGCATAATATTATATATGAAATATGAATTAATTAATTCTATAAGTGTATTCGTACATACTGCTAAATACCTATATTATAATTTATAGTTGATATATAGGTATAGTGTGCAGTACCTACTACCTATCATCTACATTGCTATATTCATGTTTCACATTTTAAATATTGCGTTGAACTACTCACTACTGTACTTGAGCGCGCGAAGGAAAACTTTAAATAAACCAGGTCACGCACTCACACGAGTAGGTACATATTATATCGCATAAATTATTGTATGAAAATAAAGTTTAACATCATACAAAACTGAACGTTTTACAAAGGAAACATTTTCTTAACGAACAGTGTAGCTTATTTGTATATAAAAAAAATTAACAATTATTATCATAATATACGGTGATGTTTTTTGAAAAATAATTTAAAAATCGTGAAATAATGGCMAAAAAAATAATAAACGTATCATATATTGAATTTAAGGTTTTAGGCTAATACAATAAATCACGACACAATTAAACTTTTAAATTACAGTACCAATAAACAGAGAGGAGTTTGTATTGATGATCCACGAGGGGTGACAGCTGTAAAATAGAGTGGTACCTTTGTGCATGTAATCCTAATCGCGCCGCACTAAGACTACACTAGGTACTATACTACTACTGACTACTACATTTTAGCCAATAATACAAATAACAACAGTGATCTCAACTCTCAAGCATCTATATTCACCCTAATGGCCTAATCCCTAGTACCCTATTCGATCTGGGCACCAAAAGTACACAAAGTCTGTACCTCACAAACTGCAGCGGTAGTAGATAATAGATATCACAAACGTAATTCGTTAAAACACATACTATTATACTATAACATAAATCTCCTAATGTGGGTGTCTGAGGAGGGAGCTAGCCCTCTTTCCACATAATGTTTTAATTTATCTAATCCAATTTATCCATTGGTATATTATTATGTTATTTTCTTTTTTTTTAATTCTGTTTTACGTATTTTTACATTTTCAGATACAAATGCATTTTTTTTTTGTTTATCAATTAAATAATTTTTTTTAGGTGTTATATTCTTATATCTATTATAGTTATGAATATTATTTTGTCAACTTTATTAAATGTAGATTATTTAAGTTCAAAATCATGTATATCATATAAGTACTAATATTGTTATTAACTTATGTATATACATTTTATATAACTTAATTATACAGATATATGTATGTTAATAGTTAATACTGAGTATGAATATCCGTACTTTACCACACATACTTTAGAACAGTGTTAACAGGATCGTGGTATATATAGATTACAATTTGTCTTAGCATTTTGAAAATGTTTTTCTATATAGCTGATAATACTTGTAATAATACTTATACAGTTATACGACTATAGCGCTTTACGTAATGGTGAAAAGTTTYAAGTCACTTCATTTAATATTTCAGCAGGATAAATTAAATATAGAACTGTAATATCACAGAACAATGTTATATACATATAGAGGAAAATACTTATTTATTTTTTGTTTGAATATATTATTTCTTCCAGGAAAAGTATCGCCAGTTCGGGCTGCTTTTCCTATCAAGTGTCATCCCTTTTAAATCTTCTTCTTTCATATGATTTAAGATTATTTTACAAAATATGAATAGATAATTTGATTTCAAACAAAAGTTAAAACCATTATATGTAAAAGTGTATAGTTATAGCCGTATTGGTGTAACTATTATTATTATTATCGACAGCTATATACAAAAACATTTTCAAACTATTAAGACAGAACTTAATTTATTTATCCTACGATCCTGCTACAACGCCGTTCTTACTTCGYACATARGTACGTACATGTGTATTATTATTTATTATTAATAATATATTACTACTACTAAATTTAATTGATCGATAACTGTTGATTTAATTTCCTGTTGAAAACATAGCATTTATTATAACATTCAATCATTAAAATAATATAGTTGTCAATGTAATCTCAACCCAATGTAACTAAAATTTTGTAACCCAATGGCCTAGTCGTCGAGGATATATTTTGTTTAATAATAAAAAAAAAAAAATTTCGTRACGATTTTGATTTCAAACGTCTATCAAATAAGTTATATTTTAATGCTAACCTAGCTATAGCCAGATTCACTATCCTACCAGAAAATATACCCAATAAATTGGCAAATTTAAGGATTTTTACTGCCCCAAAAGGAGACGAAACATTTTATTGAAAGTCAATACACAATACACTCATAATTTCGCTGAGAACTCAAAATGTATCAATCATAACTTGTTATGGAATTAGAAAAAAAAAAAAAAATAGAATGACTTCACCGTGCATGATATGAATATTAAATCTACACAAAAGTGCGATTTCATGATCGCGCATTGTGATCTATATATTATACAAACAAATTATAGGTATCAACGATAAATATTGTCGTTAAACGCAGCGACGAGCTCTACACAGCAATACTAAACAACTCTGCAGAAATAATAACAACGCTTCTATATTATAACATTATGATAATATAATATTATAACTTTATCACACCCTCGTCCTGTTGGCCGTACTACGCTATAGGACAAAATACTACACACATATTCGTACCGCACACGCGCATAATAATATTCTGATGTATACGCAAACTATTATATTTCATGCCGCAAAGCGCCCGAACATCGCGGGACGTAATTAATACGACAGCGGCGGGACGTACGTTGACGGCGGTGCGCGCGTGCGCCCACTCTGCGGCGTATCGACCGGCCTCGAGTCACGGCGGCGGCGGCGTCGTCGTCGTAAAAAGCTCCCCGGGCCCACCCTCGCACTCGCGCGCCTCGCTATCGACGGCCACCGCCACCGCTGCTGTCGCTACACGCGCGCACCCTCACACACGTACACTACTATACGCGTATAAGCGCGCACACACTTACACCCACGTACACAACACGTACACACCACGTACACCGGACGTTCGTTGTGTTGCGTACGCGGTCGGTGCGTGTGCTAGTCGTCGGCGCACCAGTGTGCTGCAGGGGATGACCCGGAATCACCACTCGTCAGTGTCAGCCACGTCTCGAACGCGCGACAATCGCGTGCGATAATAATATTGCGACGATTGCCGTTAATAGGAACGTAGGTCGTACAACGTCGCAATCCTACACGGTGCGAATACCGCACGCCGGCGTGTCTCTGGAGGCCAGCTCAACGCGCGCGCCGCCGAATGCGCTTCAGCAGCAGCTGCGGGACGGCCGCCCGCGCGACGGCTGCCGCGACGCTGCCGCGGCCGCTATCTATTGCCGCGGTCGGCCGCCTTTAGGACGACTTTGCGAGCGGCGGACACCGACGGAGACGCCGCCGACAACGACAAAGACGTTGGTAAAAACAACGACATCGGTGAAGATAACGATAACAGTACGAATCGAACGTGCCGCCGCCACATCTGAACAACTCGATAACCGCCGTCCGGGACCTGCGGCTGCGGCGGCCGTTGCCGCTGCGTCTGCACCGGCACTCGCGGCATTGCCTGAAAGCTCGCACCTGTCTGCGCCGTATACAGCCCGGCTGTCGGCCATGGGAACCGTGCTCAGTATCAGCCCCAAAGACCGAAAGTCCGTGTACCCGGCCATGGCAAGCAGCGCCAGCGCGGCCGAGTTCACGCTCAGCAGTTTCACATACGAGCAGTTGACCAAGCGCAGGCACGCCGACGTCATGGCCGGCCGTAGCATATCCATGATGCTGCCGGCCAATATAAACATAAACACCATCAACAACAACATTATCAACAACAACAACAACAACAACCACAACAGTCACCACCACAATAACAACAATTCGGAGAACAACTGTAAAACGACAGGTGGTGAACCGCAGCAGCAGAGGGGTGCACTAGAAAAAAGCTTGAAAAAACATTCGGCCTTGATCAATGCGCTCAGCTGGAAGCGGTTCAGCACGTCGCAAAACAAAAAGAAGTTGGACAATAATGGCACGGTCGGAGGTGGCGGTGTCAAGTCCAAGCAACTTTTAGGTGGTMGACAACCGTTGGTGGACACCAACGCCAACGTCGACTGTGGTGGCCGGTCTAATGGCGTTCGACGCTCGTTCACCACGACCGGACTGGACGTGGCCAACAATAACAGTGGCTGTGGTGACAAACTTATACCCAGGGCCACGCTTGTGCCGTCACACACGTGTCACAACCTCGTGCCACGGAAGACCATYATACAGGCAAGCACGTCCGAGCTGCTCAAGTGCCTGGGCATATACTTGCACCACAAGTGCTACAAGCTCAACGATTTCCAGGCCGGCGACGCGGTCATGTGGTTAAGGACGGTGGACAGGAGTCTGCTAATACAGGGATGGCAGGTAATGCACGTCATTTGCATAATATTTCWTATAGCTATATAATATAATATTAAATTATTGTGACAAACTGCTGATGTATATATCCTATCACATTCAGGATTTCCGTTTACGATTTAATTTTCCTTAAACGGGGAGATGCTGTACGTTATAAATAAGATAGTACACGACGGATTTGTAGCAAAACATTGTTTTCGGAATCAGGCGGGTGCATTATGCGACTGGCCCGTCGTCCGTGCATATTTTATATGTGTATTGCGTATGTATATAATATATTATGCTCTCGTCGATTTATACATATATATATTCTTATAGCGCCGTCGCCGCCGTTTTGCAAACGATTCGACCCTCTTGCATGACGCCCACCCACCTCCGACCATTCCCTACCCACGACCGGCACACAAGCCCTCGCCTRCACCCCGTGTCTCCCGTCACACAACAGTCATCCCCCATCCATCTTCAACCACCCCTCCGGTCAGTCACTCCCTATATACTCTACACCATCACCCCTCCATCAGTGCCAGGCCGCGCGCGTTGCGTGATTTACGCGCCGCCGAGTTCACCGCCACCTTCGCCCTCTCGCCGTCTCGTAGTCTACCTCACACACCCCCGCCGGCGCAACCAAGACTCAATATATTATGGTATATACACGMGCAAGCGGCCTTAACCGTTTTCCCCTTACATCATTTTCTACGAAATTCGCAGCACTCTTTGCCGCGTTGATGGTCCGATGACGTGTACTATAACTTAAGAGAGTAAAAACGCAATTTTCCCCTTTCAAACGCCACGCCGTCCCCGTTTTTCGCTCACCGTCGCGATAAATTACTTTGTATACATATATATAGATATACGCGCCTAGATTATTATTATGCAGCCGCGCTAGAATTCGCCACCGAGGTCCCCCGAGAATACCCCATGTGTGTGTATATATATATAATATTATATACTTTTTCAACCCCCGTCCAGAAAATAAGGGTGAAATAAAATTCCGGCGTCCACGTAATATACGCGAAAAACACTTGTCGTCTCCGCATTTTATTAGCGCTGTCGCACTATAAATATATTATTWATTATTATTTTGCCACGAACCCACCGAGAGAATTTTTTATAACACGTCGCTCTCGGACGATGAAGATGATGTATATGAGCTTAGTATTGTAATAATTATCATCAATAATTCTACACATATTAATCATAAAAATGTATTGAGATTTAGTCAATAACGCTACCTATACTATAAAATAATTTAAACATTTAAAAATTAATACATTCTGATGTTAAWGCTGCGTGGGTCTCGAAGTTTGCCCGATTTTATCAATATGTATTTCATTGCCAATCTCGGATCTACCGAATACGTATGTCCGTAAACAACATAGTGAGGTTTTATGTAAGCCGACGACAGTGATAATAAGCTCGGCTATATATTCCGTAAATGTGGTTTACAAGAGTTCATGATATGGCGAGTGATGGGTAKAACCGTGATATTTTCCGTTGGTCAGCAGTATATAACGAAAATGGTCGTCGCTGTCCATTTTCTTAGTTTTCTACGACTTTACCGCAGATTCATAATAACTTTTGATAAAACCGTGATCGTGGAACCGTTTAACGTGTACTTATAACCTTATAAGGTGACACATATAAGCTTTTTTTGCTATTGACATTTTATCACGTGTAATTTTCTATATTGTTACAAATTTATAACTTAATTGAATAAAATAATAAGTAATTACTTAAACCATAATTTATTTAATGGTAAAAACATTTTATACCTATTCGCACTGATACTGAAATCTATTGTTTAAAATCCAGCTATAGTGTCAAAGCACATTATGCCCTACTACGAAGAGGGAAATGTGGTTAATAGGGTTTGGCTATACGTTATTTAAAAAAAAACAACTTTTTTAGTATTATGTTTTCTTCAATCAAACAAAAATTTGAACTCTTGTGAGTTCAACTGTTATATAGTACATACTATACACATCTCGAATATATACATATCGTGTACATATTCTTTGGGTTGAATGAACAACCGATAAATTGAGTAATGTGCGTGCACTAGAGCCGTTTCAAAGTCAAATAGCTATATACATATATAATATGTATTGCATTTATTTTATGTTATAGTTTACAGTGAATATAAATTAATAGCAAAAATATTTATATATATATATATATATTGTATAACATACATTATATTCAACTGTCAACTCCGTTCTGTAATTCGTATTTTTACTTTTAAACGAGATAGTTTTTAATACAATAAAATAAACAAAAAACATATTATAAAAAATGCTTAATAAAACCGTATTATAATATTATAATACATTATATACATAGTARATAATAATATATTAATATTCGATCATAACACGGCAATCAGTATAACATAGGAGAAAAAGGTTATAGTTGGTGAGAAAATATCTAATACCTATACATATGTTTAACCATATGTATTGTATATTAAAATTAATTAATTTAATCATATCGGTTTTTAAATGACACGCTGCAAAGAAGAGACACTAATTAAAAGATATGTGTGATGGTGAAGTCAATATTTGAATTATTACGCGTGCTAGTCGAATATAATATTTAAAACTTGGTCTTATTATATGTTTATAGTTTATACGGGACTATTTGTATTTTGTATGATGATATCAGACAATTAGGTCAATGCCGTTGCAGAATGTTTCTGCGATGACCGACTTAATATTCATTTATTAAGTATTAACCTAATAATATATTCATAAAAATACACTAGCTATAACCTTATAATAAAGTTTGTAATATATATATATATATAAAACTATTATCCGATATACCGTATTACATTGATTTTAAATTTAATGCACATTTTGTTTTTGTGAAATGTAAAAATGCACGCGCAGAGATATTAGCTAAAAATAAAATTTTATAAAGGTATATACAAAAAAATGTTCAATTTAACGTATGGATTTTCGCAAATGAAAAATAAATCAATAAATTATTTTGACCATCACAATGATTTTTCGGATTTACGCCTTATATAATTTAATGTAATTTATTCTAAAATATTTTACTAAATAAACGTAAAATCATCGAAGTCAATTTTATTTTACAAAACAATAATGTAGTATTAGTAGTAATGTGTAATTAAAATACATGTTGAGTGATAAATGTATCATAACGAATAACATTAAGAGATTCAATTAATAAATTACAATATAAATTAAAGAAATAAAACAGTTTAGGTACTAATGATAACTAAGATTTGAACCTAGTAAAATCATATAAAAATAGTATAATTTGAAACGATTCACCGAATTTTGTATGATTGATTGTATGAAGCTGCTTTTTCTCTCCGCAGACCCAACATGTTTTCCACCAACCATCATCTGTCATCTGGTATCCGACATCGATATAATATGATATGATATGGATAATTGATTAATTGATATAGCGTATATTAATTATTATTGTATTATTATGGTTCATAACTGTAAAATATATTATTATGAATTACCTATAATACACCTGTCAAATAGATATSGAATGTAACAGAGGGTGCCGATTTTTTATTACGTACGATAGGAGTCCGCGATTTGAGATAATAGTAAAAAATTGATGGCAATCGGATTAACGAAAAAGTACCGTGCCGTTTTGTACCAATATTTGTATTTTGGGGTGAAATAGTTTATGTTATATTTTACACAGACAYGCGTGTATCCATGTGGATGATCTATGAATCATTCTCATATACGTTCACTCCGTCACGTAATAATATCATCAATTTCATATAATAACAACATAACATACGGCAGACGCCCGATCATATACATATTATACACACTCTCACTTAATATTTCACCATCGCTGTGACACAACACACATAATACATATAATAATATAATAAATATATATATGTGTATCATGTATACACACAACACACGAACGCCGCATGCCAAAAAGTCATCATTATTATGTTGTACATTTAAATGAAATACATATTATAACCTAATGAAGAACATCTATATTGTATACATTCGAGTACATCCTAACTAAAATTATTCACTTGGCAAGGTTTAAAACATTTAAACGATAAATAATGATGATAAAAATAAAATTCAACATTTATAATTATATACAATGAGAAACTCAGAAATTAATTTTTAATGTATATAATTAGGTGCTATATAATAATTGTATTACGTATATTATGTTTATTGTCATACCCTTCTTGTATATACGTATCAACAATGGTGGCTTCCGTGTTTTATCAATATTTTTTATACATTTATAATTATTTTCCACTGACTAAATTGTTTAGCAATAATGAAAACTGCGGGGTAGTAACCAGGATGGTATTGATCGGGAGTAACGTGTACAAATCGTTTTATGTTCAAAGTATTCAAACGCAATTTTAATACCCCATTTACCCGAACCTCACATCACTTAATTTTTCGTTTATATAATAGAAYATGCGTTTGGACAAAAAGGGTTTAACCACGACTGTGTACTGCAAGCAATGTTGATTTGCAATGTGCATGGTGCATAATATAAGAATATATATGTGTTTGTGGAGATAAGTGAAATGCTAAGCGGGTCRCTTAAATGAATCGCATCGACGGCGATTAAATTATGCACTGTCCGGATATATAGCCATTACCCAGTGTGTCTGGAATGCGAAATATAAACCAAACGTTGGGTGCAACAGTGGTGATTTGCGGCAGCTTAAATCAATGCGATTGAAATGTGTGTACGGATTTAATTTCTATCCAATCATACCAAGAAATAGGGTATTCGAATATGCGATTAAATGGTAATATTATTTTGAGTTGAAAGTGTACAATTGTAAAGTTTTTTTTTGTTTCTAGAAAACCATTCATTGAATTATTTACTTACATAAATGATAAATTAATATGCTTTTGGGATACTAACCGATTTTTCATAAGTTTGTCGTTGTCATGGTTACTTATTAATTAAAACATATTGATGGTTCATAGATTTTTATTGTAGAGAATAAATATCGAGTATATAGTGTACTTTTATTTATTTTATACCTATTTACGTGTAATAAGTACTTAAGTATTTAATATGCAGTTGACTAGTAGTAGGTACTTTAGGCTTCTGTGTACAATTTATTTATAATATTTTTTTTTGGTAATTAATAATTATATACCTAGATAGTAAGTCAGTATTTAATTATATTCAATTTCCGTGAATTTTTGACCACTGGTATTTTTTTGATTCTAAAACAGATAACTTAATACTATATCATACTGAAAAAAAATRGTGGTTAGTTGCTAAATTACTTGCTTAGTCGACACTCGATATATTTGTGCAAACAATTAACAATCTACTTAAGAAATTTAATGATGATTAAAAATTAATGRGTATAATTTTAATTATTACCTATGTTTATCTTATGCTTTGCGCAGATTAAAAATGTAATCCAGTTTTCTTATGTCTTCCTGTACTCAATTTTAATTCCACGTTTAGATATTGTTTTGCCTATAAGGCTATAACTTAAAATATAACGAAATGTTATGATAAATTGTATAACAATTTTTGAATTTTAAAGAATAAGAAGAACAGATAAAAATAAAATAAAACAAATGTCCTGACTGTTATACTAAACATACCCGTTATTACATAGGTTATAMACGTTTTTCATTGATTTTATTTTTGGTCTAGCAGTTGTTTTGAAAAGTACTAAGTCCGATGATGAACCGAGTGCATATTTGAYACTAATTAATAATGTTATTTGTTTTAGTGGATATAATTATAACTAATAACATAAATTTTGAAGAATTGTTACGATGTATAGCAGAGATTTAGACCTTTATAGAATTTAACTTCAGATATRAAATGAATGGATTTTTATATTTTTTTAAAGTGTTTTTAACTCACAGAGAGATTTAGACATAATAATCAACATATATAACATAGGTAGCAGTTTATAAAATATAATACATATTCAACTCTAGGTTAGTGGAATCTTTCAAATACATCMGTTCGTCCTTGGTGTGTGAATTTTATAAAGGTAATCATATTTTATTTGGCACTGGATAACTTACTTGTGTAACTAAAAATAGTTGTGATGGGTAAGAGATGTATTTATTTCCTTATTGGTGTGAGAGGTTGAGTAAGAAAAAAGTTTAAACCACCTCCTTCAAGGATGACAACCTTCATATTAGACATTTCAAACTTTAATTTAAAAGTTTTTTTTTGTTTTGTAAAAAATAGATCCATTTGTGTTGTACTCGTATAAATAAATACATAATGATTCTATAAAATACCTTATTGACAAAATGTAATAAATCATCGATTAATTCTATATTATAACACTAGTTATTATACAGAACATGTGCTCAAAATATTTTTAAAAGCACAATACCCCCCTCATATCAGAGTTTAAACGATGAACTATATGGAGTTCGTTTATAATAATCATATATATAATATATATATATATATTTAGTATATATAGGTACGATATAAACAATTGGGGTTTTTAAAATGCACTGTATATAGTATTATTATGAATTAAAATTGTTATTGTTATCCCTGGCCACCGCTATAACGTAGTTTGTATTGTTTTTGCATTTCCGCAGGACGTGCCGTTCATAAACCCGGCAAACGTGGTGTTCGTGTACATGCTGGTCCGAGAGCTAGTCGACGAGCGCGTGGCCACGGAACCGGAACTCCAAGCCGTCGTACTCACGTGCTTGTACTTGGCGTACTCGTACATGGGCAACGAGATATCGTACCCACTGAAACCTTTCCTGGTCGAGGATAGCCGGGACGCGTTCTGGGACCGGTGCCTGGGCATCGTCCGCGCCATGTCAGCCAAGATGTTGCGCATCAACGCCGAGCCCGCGTACTTCACGGAGATCTTCAGCGAGCTCAAGGCGTGCGGCACGCTCAACGCGGTGTTGCAGACGGCGTGATGAGCCATTCATCTGTAACCACCGCGAAACATTATATTATGTAGCACAAACCGAGTCGTCGCCGCCGTCATCACCACCGTCACCATCACCGKCATCACCGCTGGGCCAGCAGYAGCTGTAACACCAATGGCAACGGTAACGCGCGTCGCTATTAATATTTATCAATGTTGCGTATTATAATTATACCGTCGATCGTCCAAACCATKATGTTATTAATGTATATTATAATATTATATGTTATGTGTATTGGAACATTTGGAACATGTCTTCCTACAGTGTCTACCGCGTTGTATTACTATTACTATTATTATTATTATTATTGTATGCCACCGCGTACCCCTCCCCCCCCCTTCCGGCGTCCGCAACCCTTTGCGAAAAGCGTGACACGCATAAAGTTTGTCTCAAAAACTGGTCTACTGACGTGTTGTGGAACAGACGCGTCTGGCGGTTTTAATTTCCGTGTCTGGTGTTAGTTGGAACGGCACATTATTCTATTGCGCGTACTTTCACCCCTATAGTTCTGTGATAGCGAGCGACCACGTGTTGGAGGTTATTTGAGCACACGTCTTATCGTGTACCTACTTTCGGATAATATTATATCATAAGCCAGCGCGTTTGTGTATCGAATTAACGTTTTATACATCAACAAAATTATACGCCATTTTTGTCCCACGCGAAACACAATTTATGTATATACATATAATGTTATCATATTCGAAAAGTATGCGGTGAATTTACTGCTCGATTATACGTCATAATATATTAATATAACGTATTGCGATCACAATAGTGATATTGTAATATTATAAAGGTACAAAAGTATTTTGATTCTGCTCAAGCAGATCTGACGCGGTAGGTACCTATATCCGTATACGAAATCGAGAAGAAATACCGCTGGACGTAAAACATTATTTATTATTATTGTAAATATATTATATATAGACACATGCGCAGGCGCAAGGGTTTCACCTAGCGTTTGTGCGCACCCGTCCACCCGTACCACCCRTCATGTCCGTCCATGTTCTCGAATCGATAAATTCCACTGCCCGGGGTGCGCTTACCCGCAGAGAATTTCCATGGATATGTTTTATCTGAGGGCGGAGTGGAAGCTTTTTTTCCATCGTACCATTACAAAATCGTGCTGTTCGTTTACAGAAACCGAGAAACGTGCATAAACGTATTTTTCTCCGTACCTATCTATCTCGTTGGCGTTGGATAGAATTCGGTGACACTTCTCTTAATGAAATCTATAGACTACTTCTTCGTGACTATCAGCATATAGGCGTGGTTTAAGACGGAATGGATATTCGTGTTGGATACTACAAAATACCCTGGAACTTCGAAATGCACTCAAAATGTTAAAACATTCAYAGGCATCGAAGTTTAAATCGAATCTTTTCAACAAAAATAATATAGGGCTGGAAACGTTTTACATAAGGTCGGTCGCGTGCGCCATGTCAGGTTTTTCCGTGTCCCGACCCTAAAAAATAAGGGTCGTCTAGAGGATAAGGTGAAGTAATTTGTTTCGTTTTACATGCCCGTAGGGTAGCGCTGTACAYGAATATTCAGAATAATAATTACCTATACAGAGAGATCTGTCGTTTTGCCTAAGTTTCTACCGTCACGCAGCGCCTGCCATCACTGAAATCCATGTATAACATATACCTTTTGGTTTCAATTCTCGGAACCTTAAAAAAAATATAAAATAA